ACATAGTATCTGCCAAAATCTGAGAATCGTGATCTAGACAATTTCACATATAACTTTAACCATCACTCTTAGAAAGAACGAAAACAATCAAAACTTACTTATGCTCTTTTCTATCTTTACAAATTGGGTGATTCTGGCACTTCACCTAACTTCTATCATGTGGTCCTAATTTGTGATCACCATCAAATTGGCACAAGGCAAGATGCAGTAGTTCAGTTTAACTTATTGTGCTTCCAAAGTGAGTGATGGGAATTTTTTGAGAAATTCTCATTCCTGATCATAGTTTCTCTTGAGAGTTCAGAAGGACCCTATAAATCTTTGCTCCATGGGCTACAGGTTAACTAACATGATTATAAGGCCACTGCAATGCTGGAAGATGCCAGTCAGCAGGCTTGGAATCCTTCATTCCTAGACAAGCTCTCTGGCTTACACTGAATGTGGCCTTTGATCCCACCAGATGTTTCCTTGGGTCCAGAGGTGCCTAGGTGGAAGAATAAATTCAGGAAGCCAATAGATACTTCAGGACCACTGCCAGAAGAAAGATAACCTGAGTAGATCTGAAAACCTTCTAAATTAGAAAGAATTTAGTGAAAAGTCTAGCTAGGTTTTAGGATATAGCTGTTAATTTGTCTTCACCTCTCTATGAAGTTCCTTTTTACTGGTAGAATTTGTAACATGAATTCTACTGCTGAGTAATGGATTTGGTTAAAATGTTTATCACCTACTGCATTTAAATTACTTGACATTAAGAGATATTTGTAATTTTCTTAGTTTTAGTTTCTCTAAATTTTCTCTGGAAAAGGGATCTTTCTTTGACAATTTGTATTCTGAATTTTGAATTTTTATTTTATAGTATATGCTATTGAGATTAGGAGCTCTGGTAGCTTAGTGCCTAAGGCACTTGACTGCTAACCAGAAGGCTGGCGGTTCAAACCCACCAGCCACTCCTCGGAAGGAAGATGGGGCAATCTACTTCTGTAGTGATACTGCCTCGGAAACCCAAGGAGGGGTCGCTATGAGTCAGGTCTGACTCGACAGCACATAACAGCAACAACAAATTGAGATTAGGAACCGGGCAATGTTTTGTTCTGTTGTACACGGGATCTCTATGAGTTGGAACTGACTTGAAAGCACCTAACAGCAACAACAACATTGAGATTATAAAATATGCTGTGTGCTGAGTATAGAGTATACAGATACTGTAACATAGAGTATAATATGCAAGGAGCTCTAGTGATATATTATGCAAGGAGCTCTAGTGATATAGTGGTTAAAGCACATGGCTACTTACCAGCAGGTTGATGGTTTGAACCACCAGCTGTTCCATGGGAGAAAGATGAAGCAATCTGCTTCTGTAAAGATTTATAGCCTTAGAAACTCTATGGGGACAGTTCTACTGTGTCCTGTAGGGTCACTATGAGTTGTAATCAACTTGATGACAGTGGGTTTAGTGGGGTTTTTTTGTTTTGTTTTGTTTTGGTTTGGTTTATTTGTTATACAGCACTTTGTTTATCTTTTTTAGATTTATGAGGTTTACACATATTTGCAAAACATATCTTAATCATGAAATGTATAATAAATTCCAAATTTACTAATTTTTAATTCTGTGGTTTTTTAAGAAAAGATATCTTTTATTTTCCTGAGGTCTTTTTGTTGTTTGTTTTAAATTGAAAGTTTAGGTCATTTTTTAGCATTATGAGTAGTTTACTTTTTATCATCTGACTGTATGACAGGTACTTACTTTCTCCCAATTCAAAACTTACATAGACAATAAAGATATAACAATAGAATTACTTTTGTTTTATTTACATTTTTTTTTAAGTAACTAGAAGGAAAATTAGTTATTGTATAGCCCAGTGATCTTATTTTACAGATTAAGAAACAGGATTTTTTTTTTTAGATGGATCAGTGTTTTGTTTTTTTAATTTTTATTGTGATTTGGGTGAAAGTTTACAGAACAAATTCATTTTCCATACAGCAACTCACATACACTGTGTCTCATGACATTGACTGCAATTTCCCACAATGCAACAGCTCTCTTCCCACTTTCTCCCCATGGTTACCTCTTCCCTGTATCCTTCCCTCCGTGTACTCCTGCCCCACCCCACCTGTCTCCCTGAGCATAAATAGCCCTTCTATTCTCCTGTGATTGATCTCTCCAAGGAGTGTATCTACCTAATGTAATTGTTTAATTCATATGCCTGTCTTTTGTTTGGCTGGAAGCCACAGGTGGTTGTTGTTGTTGTTATGTGCCATGGAGTTGGACTTGACTCATAGTGACCCCTCCTTGGGTTTCCAAGGCAGTATCACTACTGAATCTACTGAAGTAGATTGTCCCATCTTCCTTCCGAGGAGTGCCTGGTAGGTTTGAACCCCCAGCCTTCTGGTTAGCAGTCAAGTGCCTTAGGCACTGTGCTACCAGAGTTCACAGGAGTGGGTTCATTCCATACCTGAAGGGCAGCGAGGGGCCATAATCTCAGGAGTTCCACCAGGCTCTATCAGATCAGCAAACCTGGTCCCT